CTGCCCTTCAAATATAGCACTGCCCTCTGTAAAAGAGGACACATGGACATACTTACGGCCAGTAATGTTGACCCCAAAGGCATGAACATGGTGAACAGTTGGGTTATGCATCACTGTTGAGAAAAATACATATGTATTACACAATTCTGAAGGCAGAATTTTTCCCTGATTCAGGGGAATGAAACTCCTAAATGTGCGCACCCCTCCTCTTGAACTGCACAATCACTCAATTCTAAACTTGGGGGAAATGGAGTTTGGCAGTTTCTTGGGGCAGACAAGTGAGTGTACTGTATCCAAATGCTTACGCACACCTCACGTTATGGACTCAGAGCAGGTGTGAGAGCACCATGGGTTATTTAGTTCAAATTTGTTTCCTTATTTTCCAACTCTTAAACATTGACAATAATTCTCTTGAATTCCTGGTTCATCTTAGACTGTTCTGGATAGTAAAACAGAGAGCAATATTACATGAAAATATATACATTTGGTACATAGAGTAATGATAAATGGATGCCTAAAAAAAGGAAAGAAAACCAAAGGACTCACATTTTTCCTGCTTCTTTTTTATTGGTGCATTCATGCTAGCAAATTTACCACAAAGCTGTTAATATTTATTTAGTTCTACTCATAATACATTTTCTAATAGGGAATTATTTGGGGACAATGGAAGACATTTGTAAATTAAGCAGATAAGCCCTTGGGCAGACAAGGAGTGTTTTGTTTAACACAAGAATTCTATTGTCCATTGCTTTAGTTGTCAAGAGCCCAGGGAGCTGAGGATTTATGAGGATGCTACAATGGTCCTTTCACTCTGCCGCCTAAGAAGCTGTGAGATTTGGTTCCTCTGCTTTTCAGCTTCTAATCTTTTTATCATGCAGGAACAATGCAGGATTCAGCTGGTTCTTGGGATCCAAAACTGTCCATTTAACATCAGGCCCTGTGAAGTAATTACCATGGGGACAATGGGCTTTTTTGGGTCACCTCCTCTTTTTTTTTTAATTCTAAATTACCAAAATTGCTATGGTTGTCACTTCATATAAAGTGTTTCCTTAGGACATGGCTTACTTTCCAAGGTAAATGGATAATCTTGTTATGAGTTGGGGTAAAACTACCACTATGTCAAATTCAGTTGATAGCAAGTGCTGTTTTGTGCTGATTTATTGATATATCCGCACAACCCCACCCGTGCCAATTGCAATCTGAAAATGTTCTACATTTGTGGCCTATGAAAGAGAGAGAGAGAGAGAGAGAGAGAGAGAGAGAGAACATATTTATTCAAAAATCTGCTAATAAGTATTTCCAATCTGTTGTTTGGAAGGCACAATAAGCAAAAGACTTTTTAAAATAACATACGTATTAAATCACAATATAATATTAAAGACATGGATGTCATTTCTTCAGAGGTTTATATTGAAGAAGTGGCAACTGTTACAAATGTCTTCCATTTCCTCTCAAACTAAATGCTTCAAAAAATCTTCCCTGCATTGCCATACAAATGAAATTCAATGAAAAGAATGTCTCAGAAGCAGAGTGAAGGTACAGTTTTCAGTAATGCTTATCATGCTAAATACTTTTCCTTTGCTTTTAGAAAAATCCTAAGTATTTTGGTTTGATTAATTTTTAAGGATGGTCAGTACTTGTAATAAAGTTCCAAAGCAAGATTTCTCTAAACCCTGGGCACATCACAGTAAATATGTTAGAATAAAGGGAAACTGCAAATGTAGAGAATTAACTCTGAAATACCTTGGTTCCCCCCCCCACATTTTCTGACTAAATAAGAGGGTTGTGTCCAGTCAAGGAGAAAAAAAAATGAAGCATCTTGGATGGATCATCCCTCCCAATCAACAATCAAAGTCAAAGAAGCTGTCTTTTTCCTGCTTTGCATCTCATCATCAAAAGTATACAGCAAATATGGCACATGGTCTTCTCAAAGACCCATGAATGGAACGTTGATATTTAGAAAAAAAGAAATGAAATTCTCCCTCTGCTTTATATTTCATTTGAAATTTCTTCTGTTAGGTTGTTTATCTAACAGAAGAAATTCTGAATTAATTTTGTGTTTAGTGTTCTTTTTTCCCTTTTTTATTTTTTGAAAATACAGAAGAAAAAAACCATAAATACAACACAATACAACAACAATAATATTACATACAAAAACTCAATTAATAATTAGAAAAGTAAATGATAAAGTGCCCCCACCACCCCGGAGACCAATACTTAATTTACATATTATAACAATTAATAAAATCTAATATACTTCAATTATATCCATATCCCCTCCAGAAATTCATATAATCTTGATTAGGTTTGCAACCTTTGCCTTCTAGGTTTAGTGTTTAGTGTTCTTGTGTTGGACAAAGCACTCTTTGTCCACCCAAGGGCTCATCACTTAATTTACAAATTTCTTCCATTGCCCCCAAATACATTAATTTAGTTTAATTTATTTATCTAGTTTGTTTATTACTTTGTTTCAAGGGCCCATGTTTGTGGGATAAGGGGAGGGATGTAAATATTTTAAGACATATGTAACAATCTTAGTCTACAGTACAGATCTGAAATAGATTGCACACCATTCCTTTAATCCAGATCTTCCTCAGAACTATTGTTCCAAGAATCCCACTGTGTTTGCGTGGGGGGGGGGGTCGCTGGCATTACTAGTGGATATGTCAAGCCCCTCAACAAACTACAGTTTTCAAATTATTTTGAGAAGAACATTATAAGATCTGATGAAGCAAACCATGTCTTGACGCAAATCAATGACTTAACACTGCAGTCAAGGGCATGCATGCCCACATAGGAGCAATCCCAGTGATTTCAATGGGACACCATTTCAGGAAAGTATGATAAGATCACAACCCAAATGACTCTGTGTGTGTGTGTGTGAGAGAGAGTGAGATACTTGGAGCCTAGTTAAACATATAGTGGGTTGAATTTTGTGATGCAAATTCAACAGGTTTCGAATACGTATTTTCTGTGCTTGGCCTGTGCTATTCCAAACGTCACTTTTCTCAGAATGCTGAAATGTAAATTGCACTTGTTTTACCTTGTACTTGTACAGTCCACATTCATCATATTGATGAAGCACTCAAAGACAGCTCGCAGTCTTAGTTAGCACTGGTCAGACTGGTCGTTCATCTCAGCCAGTAGTCTCTGCTTTCACTGCCATCACCTCTCCAAGGTCTCAGTCAGAGAATGTCTTCCTTATATCCGGATCTGAAACTGTAGGGATCGGTGGGCCCATTTAGGATTTTGAGAGACTCTTAAAACTCCAAACTGCTCTCAGAAAATGGCTACCTAATGAGTGCATCCCATATCATAAAAGGGTCACCATGTTATGCATGGGCTGTCAAAGAATGCCTGTTCTCAAAGGAGATTTGGAGAGCTTAAAAGAAAAAGAAGAAGATAAAGAATGTGTCCAATAGCCTAAGTACAAGGTGTGGATGAAGCTTCAAGTCACAAAATGCTCATTGTCCCAACGTCTATTTCACAAAAAGCAAAGTGATGAGGCTCGGGCACAAATGAATTCATCAAGTTAGAGTTGAACTCTGAGCCCTGAATGCCAAATCCCATATTGCCCATACAAAGCAGAACAGAAGGCTATTGCAAAGAAGGCAACTGGTCAGGCTGTGACATCACATGCACATATGCACAAACGAGCAAAACACGTGCCGCATCAAAACAAGCAAACAAGTCAGCTAATCCTGCCTCCAACAGGCACACAGCACTAACGAAGTGCATGGCCTTGCTCTCTGCTATCCCTTCCTCCAAGATCCTTCCTACAACTCCGAGCCTTCCAGGATTCTCGATGACCTTCATCCATTCCCCCTTCTGTGTTCCTCCTGCCGCCAGCTGTTGGATACACTACAAAATCAAGTGCCAGGTTCCCTCTGTCTACTAATTTTATTTCATGAATCACTGAATAACAGAATAGTAGAGTTGGAAGGGGGCATGAAGGCCACTGAGTCCAACCGCCTGATGTTGCAGGACACCAAGTTACACCACCCCACTCAGAGGGCTGTCCAGTTTCCTTCTGAATGTCTCCAGTGTGGGACAGCCCACCACCTTTCCAGGCAGCTGGTTCCACTGTCATAGTGCTCTGACAGTGAGGAAGCTTTTCCCGATGTCCAGCCTGAATCTGGTTTGTCGCAACTTGAATTGATTATTCCATGTCCTACACTCTGGCATCAACAGGAAGAGATATTGACCTTCCTCTTTGTGATAGCCTTTGAGGTACTTATAGAGGGATATCTTGCACACCTCAATCTTCTCTTCTCAAGGCTGAGCATGCCTAGTTCTCTCGGCCTCTCCTCATAGGGCAGTGTTCCCAAACCCTGGATCATTTATGTTGCCTTCCTCTGTACCTTTCTAATTTTCCTGCATCTTTCTTAAATCTTGGTGCCCAGAACTGGACACAGTATTCCAGCTGAGGTCTGACTAGTGAGAAGTATAGAGGAACTATTACTTCTCATGATTGAGTTATTCTACAAAATAAAGAATAATCTTTGTAGCATGCCAACCATCAAGTTAACACATTATCCAAAAAATGTTACACTACATTAATTCTTGCACATCAACTCTGCCTTCAATGAACGTATCTGATCTTTCAAATTTGTCTAATTTTCAGATCAGCTGAAAAATGCCAAGCTGATGGAACCTCCCAAATGATTATCAAATCCAGTAATGGAATTCTACTGTTAATTTCATACATTATCTCTTTCACATGCTAATACTTCCAGACAGAACATATTTTCTTTCATGGGATTCTGTTTTTGTCTTGAAGGTATTGGGATATTTTAACACTCTCCCAATAATATACCTGCATTGATTATTCATGGCATAGTATATATTGTCACGCAGATGCTCTTCCTTCTGCATATTCCTTCTAGGATCTGAAAGCAGGATCATTTTAAATGCTGTCTTCTCTTGTTTCCTTTATGTGTTGGGCCTACAGTATATTATCACTGTGGATTTCAACTGAATTGCATTGTTTTTTTTCACAGAGACAGTTGGGAGATGCTGTGCACAGTACGACTGAACTAGAAAAACAAAAAACAAAAACTTTCCCTGGCAGTGCAGACCTGCTGAAATGAGTGGAATATGCTTCTTCAGTTGGCAACAGCTTTCCAATGGATGAAGGTAAGTTGTCTCATTACAAAATATGCTGATTTTAAAATAGTAGCTTGTTCCTATCCTAGCCTATCTTAGCCTCTCCTTTCTTATTCATTCATTCATTCATTCATTCATTCATTCATTTAAAGCCTTTCTACACCATTCATTCAACAAAGAACACTCTATAAACTATTTACATGAGAGTAAAAACCATATAAAAATGTGTGGCATTCGACATATGAAGAGAGCACCTGGCAAACGTATCTGGAACATTGTTGTGTGCTGCTGCTTTTCCTTTCTGTGGCCTCAGGGCCTCATGAGGGCTCAACCAAACTCTCATAAGCCTTGCAGAAGCCCCATAACTGGAAAGGGAAACAAGATGGGAGTGAACAGGTGGGCAGGTGAAGTGGAGGGCACCTTTGCAAGCACAGAGAAAGTTCCCTAGGGACCTGGGTTCCATAAACACCCTGTTGCCTCTTCCTAGACTCCAAACCTGGACACAAACCATGAATTGCCAATTGCCCATCTCTTAGCTAAAAGGTTGCATTTTAAAGTACTTAAAGTATTTCCCAGTAATGATAGTTCATCATTCCTTAACTAGATATTATGCCAAAGATGTGACATTCTCACCCAAAAAATCATACCTATAATAGAGTACTAAGCACATAACACTGAGCAATAGCCTCTCTGCAACAGCATACCAAAGGACACAAATGCATCTCTCTTGCACATAGTGAGCATGGCGCAGATCTCTCAGGAGTGCATAAAACTGCACTAGACAGCTATGCATGGTCTTTCTACTTCTTTCCAGTTTCATTTTTATCCTTTTCTCATTTTTCACTGAGGCATCGCTGACACATGCCATGGAGAGCCATCCATCTCAAAGCCATCTGCACTCCTTTGAACAATCAATATGCTGATTATCTTTATTGTCACAGGGTAAAATCAGAAGAGCACTGCCAGAGTGTGAAGATCATAGGACAGGAAGGAATCTCATGTCCCCATGAGGACATGGAACATTCTTATGACTTACAGTCATTCTCCACTCAGTGGTGCTGGCATTATGCATTATTTAGTTGAAAAACATGTTTGTCTCTGGAAATGTATGATACTTTACCACTGAATGTGTATTTCTTAAAATGTAAGCATTTTAGCATTTGCACGTGCCCACTCATTATACATTGTCTGCAACAGATATCATGCTAGGAACAGACTTCTTAGCAGCATTTGATGTTCAATTCCCGACTGAATTGTGATACTCCTGATTCAGTGTGCAGGCCTCTGACATTACAGCTTACTGCTTAGCTGACTCATTCATACTGTTTTCCAGTCAGGGTAGCCGTGTTCTGCTTGACAGCTGCTTCATTTCTGTGCAAAATGTCCTTGAGTGCTGATAATCTTCCTTCTGGCAGCTAAATTGTCTGTGCACTGTGACATCCCTTAGGAGGGCTGTTCTGGAGAGGGAAATGTAGGTAACATTCATTTTCAAGTTAAGGCAGGCTGCAACAATTAGTATCATTGATCAATAAACTGGATTTGCCACTTAAAGACACAGTCATCCTTTTAATATGTTCAAGGGAATCTATCTCTGAGCCAATGGACTTATTTGGACGAGTCAGGATAACTGGGCAAAGTTCCACTTCAAAAAAGTGCGTGTGCATGCATGGGTATGTAGGAAAAGCAGTGTGTTCAGTCTCTGTATTTATCTGTTAAAGTCAACCCATCTCCGGTTGTTTTTGGGCTAGGGCTAGGGCTGAAACCCTGAGCATAGCAGCATTGTCAGAGAAACCCTTCCATTGTTCTGCTCCCAAATACCTTTCTTTCAGCTAGATCAAGTCTGGAAATATGGCTAAAGAAACAGCTAGCAGAAATTGACTTGCCGAGCACACAAGCACTGCCTAGGTTTGGATGCATCTGCTTGGTCCACTTAGTATAATTTTGCATTTATTTCCAACATTTCTGGAACAGTTTGAAATATGTGTTTTCAATTCCTGAAGGAAAGTACAAACCCACTTTCAGCTTCATTTATGTATATGCAAAAAGCCATTGGTTTATGTATTTTGGTTATATGTGCATTTTTAGTAAAATCCTCTATTTTCTCCACACTTGCATGAAAAGTTTTGTATGAACTTTCCCCTAACATGTGCATTTTTCTGTACTTTTGTAAAAATAGAATGGCACTGCACAACCTGAAGAACTATGAACTCTGAAAGATAATTGCATTCCTGTCCGCAGAGTTCAAGAAATGCAAATTAGGTTTATTCATGTTAAAATATGAATGCAACCAATATTTTCCCCATTCCTAGTGCTGATTATCAGGAACTCTTATTTCTTCAACAATTTTAATAAATCAAGGACCACACCTGTAGTTACAAAGGACAAGTGGAGAGAAATAGAGAGCTATCATCAATGATTGTGACCTCTGTCACTCAAAAAAATATGCACAGATGCATTTTTATTATCTCAACCTTTTGCTTTCTTTCATAGTGACCTTGGTGACAATCTATTTTAGTCAGCAGGGGAAAGATTGAAGCATGATCACTGCCCTGAAATATCAATATCTAAAGAACTGAAGACTAGTATTAGGTTTCCATAGGTACATGGATACCTAGCTGAACAAAGATTTCGTTATTCCATAGTGCAGCGAAGCCAATAACTGAGCCATTACTACCATTTTTGTTGCTTTCTTACAGCACAGAAAAAGATACAACAGAAGCTTGGTCAAGACATTTCCCTGCTGAGATTCAATCCCTCTTTCTGTTCATCTGTGACCCCACGCTAAGCAGTTGGATTTGAAAGAGGCTTGTTTATCTTTCATAAACAAATGGACTTACTGCAAAGTCTTCTTGGATGCATGAAAGATGAATCAGCTTGGAATTTTAAGGGATTGACTCAGGGCTCAAGCAATTGGTGCTACTTGGTGCAAAAAGTAATTCATTTACATGAGGAAAAGAAAACTGGGGGGCAACATCCTGAGGGAAACTTTTAGAGCAGGAATACATAGCTTGTGATTTCCAGGTGTTGTTGGACTACAACTTCCACCAACACTGCCAGTGGGTAAGGTGATGGGAACTGCAGTTCTGTAATGTCTGGATATCTATCCTAATTATGGCTGAGAATATTTATGTAAACATATTTTCTTGTACATATGTATCTGTGTGGTGTTTTCAGGTATTACGTCTTGTAAAATTTGCAGGAGTCTATCTGTAACTTGAACAGAAAAGCAACAATGTTTGAACATACAAATGCACAAGAAAAGGACTGTTCAATTTATTTCTAACAAGACGACTGCTGAAGCAAAGCATCTTATGGGTCTCTTTTGTCAAAATCATAAGGTTTCATCTGAGAGAGCTATCAGTGAGATGATATTTCTCTTGCTGTCTTAAGTCCAGGAAGATATGATTAGCATTTTCCCCCACTCAGGAGTGCATAGAAAAGCTTAACTAAACACAAGATTTTGTGGAAAGAATCATTTGCAGATGGCTTCTTGATTTTTTTTTTCTACCCAGAAAGAGAAATTGAACTTCTCATTGAACTTCTCTAGTGGGGGAAGTTCTTCAATAGGTTCTTGGAAGTTGGACTCACTTATCCCAAGATGAATATGAGATGAGTCTAGAGCACCATGGTGCATAAAGAATTGTCATCTCTCATTTCACCTTCTGAATTCCCCATAAACACATAAATCATCAGTAACGGGTTAACCTACCATGGGTTGTAAGTAGTTTTGAGTTCTTCTCAGGATAAAGAAAATTTCTCAGATTTTCAGGATGACATGAGCTCTAGCAGATTATGTTGCATGCAAAATGGTGTCTAAATTTCCAGGCAAGGCAAGGTCTAAAAAACCATGGATATTGCCATCTCCAGTGGTGACAATTGGAAATTATTGGTGAACTTTTCCTTCCACTAGAAAAATTCCCAGAACTATCCCCCTTTCCATTTCTCCACAGTGTGAAGAATTTCAAGAAATTTCTTTTGTACATGAATAAATAAATAACCATTTAAACAAACTGCTCAGTCGGTGTGAAGGCTTACCATTTCAAGCACTAGACAGCAGGGAAAATCTTGATTCACCTTTATCTCTAACATATAAACTTACAGCTGTGACAAAGAGATCCGCAGGTCAAGTGGTGTTTTTTCTATTTAGACGCCTTCTGAAGAAAAGTCAAGCAATTATAACATTATAGAAAGTGTTCATTTTCTTACTTTCATTTCAACCTTTGCCAACATCCTTTCTAATGCAGCATTAGCTTCTTCCAATCATAATATCTTTGCTTGGACTGATGAGAGGCATTGCAGTTTTGCATTCTAAAATGTGCAAACTGTGTAATATTGAAATGTTGCCTACCCTAACTGTGAAGAACCAATTAATTTTCACAGAGTTTAATTAATCCTCACTTAATAGGTAAACATTTTGTGCGTATGTTTGCCTTTGCACATCCTTATTCCCCAAAATACAAAGGGTATGGGAATTATGCTCGGCACTTTGCAATTACCCTTTCTAGCTGCTTCATATCAAAATGCACTGGAGGAGAGGGTGATCAATGCTGGATGCTCCCATATACTGTCACATACTGGCAAATGTGTTTGGAGGTCAGGAAGTTGTTTTCTGGCATCAGAGCAACCTTGCTTAGAAACATGGATTTGAGATGGGACCTGTGGAATCCTCCAAGTGTTCCCCTGAAGCTCTCCATTCCCTTGATAGATAGGTAGGTAGGTAGGTAGGTAGATAGATAGATAGCTATAGATGAGACGGATGGATGGACGAACAGACAATATAAAACATGAATGTTAGGACACCAATTTTTTTCCCCCATGTGCCTGAACCTACTGCTGATCAGCTGTTCACTGGGCAGAAAAAGAACAAAAGAGTTTCTTTTTGACCACATCCAGGTTTCTTCCATCTCCATTGGTTCTTCCCCTCTGCTTTTCTGTCTTTCTACTCCCAGATGATTGTCCTGCTATTTCTCTCCACCCAACTCCTTACCTGGCTATTTTTGTCTATTCCCTGTCACTATCCTTCCTACTTC